ATATAAGTCATAAATTACGCATGAGAAGATAAGGGACCAAAGCTCCATACCTACAGGGATATGAAGAAGAATATGGTCCACTTTCTCACGACTTATATTGGAATGTGGACACAACAAGGTGTTCTGGTTAAAATAAGATAACATTTAATAGAATGAACATGATAACTTCAAGGCCTCAGAATGAAATGCAGCAGCAATAAAACAAACCTCAAAAATATTTCAATCTGCATCTTAAATACAGTTAAGAATTTTGCAGCAGCATCTGGTAGTTATTTTTTAGGATTAGGCATCTTGCAAACTGAAATTTCACGAAGTGTTCATATCATATGAATCTAAAAATAAATAAAACTTCCACGTACCTCCTCCTTAAATCCAGGAGGCTTATCATAAGTTGATTCACCGGTCAAAGCATTATAATAGTATACAACTCCTGTCTCTGTCTTGTGGGCAGTCCAGGCAACCAATTGTTCATTGACAGCAGCTCTATTCTCGGGACCTGCATCATGGAATTGTTCCTATCATCTATAAACGGCCCATACGCAATGTAGCATTGATTAAGTTATCATCGACGAAGGGGAAGGACAGAGGGACACGGAGAGAGAGAGAGAGAGAGAGAGAGAGAGCCCTAATAGATTGTTATAAGGTCAAATCGTGTTTACCAAATATGAAAGCAAAAGCATACCAACGCCAGGATGAGATAATTCTTTCTGCATCGCTGAAGACCCTGCCGATTGATGACCAGAACCAACGGAAGACACAGAATTTGCCGCAGTATTTCCCACAGGAGTGACACCAGGAGGCTGAGAATCAGGCAAAGGAACAGAAGCGAGAGGCATAACATGTGCAGGCAGAGGAAAGGGACCAGGAAAGGCAGCAGGATATGGCAAAAACGGAGGCCTAGCTAAGCCTCCTATCTGTGGGGACGAGAGCCAGGGAGCACCCATAGCAGATAAAGATGGGTAAGGAGCACCCACATGTGGCTGAACTGCTGATGAAGCAACAGGTACTGCTTGCATGCTAGGTCTATTGGCTACAGAAGAATCAATAGGTGCAGATGGTGCAGTCGGATTAAAAGATATTTGCACTGAGTGAGCTATTCCAGGGGGTCCAGGTGTCCTGGGAGTTCCAGGCATTCCAGGAGTCATGTTAAAAGATGGGGCAGTGGAAACCCATAAAGTTTTTGGTCCCGCATTAGGAGTTGATGAAATATTCATTGTGGAATTTGAAGAAGTAGGAGCAGGCAAGGAACCAGAATGAGTGCTAGTTGAGGACAATAAAGCATTACCAGTTTCTTGTGCAACAGCAGGTGGGATATTCTGCAATCAACAAAAGATTTAGAACATTAATTTTTTGGATAAAACCAAATGACTTTTTGGGTTACCTTTCCTCTGGATCGCAAAAGGCCTACAACAGATAAAAAATACAGCAATAACTCATTGACAGCCTTTTGCTTTTAGGAAAAGGATATAAGAATATAAATATCAAAACAACAACCATTCACTAGCTACCGATTGCAACTATACTCAGTTAATCAAGAGAATTCATGTTTATTTAAAGAAATAACCCTCACCATGCCAGATTGAAACTGCTGGTTACTAGGGAAAGAATAACCAGATTTTGGAATGTTGTAAGAAAAAGGACTGGCAGAAGACGACAAGCCATGAACTGGGGCCTGAACCATGGGAGATGCTGGCGGATTTGACTTAATTGCCTATATTAGAAGAAACATCAAATTTAGAACTGGAGATAATTATAATATTGATTTACAATGAGGTAACTTTTAATAAATTGGTACTTACAGAACTAGGTGATGACTGCTGAGAGGTCCCAAAACTAATGTTTGCATTAGGAGGCACATTGTAAGAGAACGAAGGTGCTGGAACAGCAAAGCTGGGTGCATTGCCAAATTTATTCTGCAAAGGTTCTTGTATCGAATCATTCGCAGAACCACCTGAGCTACTAGACGTGGTTGGGCCTACAATTGAAGCAGGTGACACAGCAGTTTGTGTTGAAGCACCGCCAGCAGGTGAAACGGATGCAGATGGCTTCACTTCCTGCGGTAACCAAGCCGGCGATGCCATTATTTGATCTGCATATGATACGTCAACAAAATATATAAACATACACTTCATTTAGGAAACCAAATCCTATCCTTCTGAGCGTAACAAGAAGCATGTTAATTGTTCCTAGGACTCCCTGTAAGTTCAAAATGGACTCGCCTCGATTTAGGTTTTTCTTCTTATTTTTAACCTAGGTTCCTGTTTTCATTATTCTAAGTCTAAAATGTGCCCTAACACGAGTATATGCATAATGTGTCTGAATAAACCCCACCCTGACTACAAAGGACCTTCTCGTATCGTACCGAAATTGCTCGGATATCAGCTTCAATGCTAGGTAAACTATTTCAGAAGCAAAGCCAAAAACCCTAATGCACATCAACAGTGTTCGATTCTATTTCACAAACCAGTTAATTCATCGCCACACATAAAAACTTTGAATACAAATTAAGCAAGCGAAACAAATTTCCCCCAATTTATCAAGAAAATATTTTCTCAAGAAACAAACAGAGAGCAGGGAGAATTGTCCGTAGATAGACCAACCGGATTGCGAAGGCGGAAGCGGTGCGTCGGAAGATAGAGATTCGGAGAGAAGAGAACGGCGGAAGTTTGTTTGGTCTCTCGGCCGCAGCTGACGGTGGGAGTTGGCGTTTCAGTATATCTTCGCCGTCGTTTTAACTTTTAACCCCGCAGAGGGAGAAGTGAGAGGGAGCGCGCGGGTGGCAAGTGGGTGAGGTACGGAGGTGGAGGTGAATTCAGCTTCAAACCAAAAATAAATAAATAAAAATAAAAATATATAAAGGGATTGGAATTAATTAGGGCTTGCAAAGTATCCGGACTCAACCCGACTCGACTCGGAACTTTGAAGCCATGAATCAAATCAACCCGATAATGCCTCCCGAATTAAACCCGGTCCGAAACAACCAGAAATCATGTCCTAACACAATGTCGTCAAGGCCACACCCAGGAGGCTTCTAAAATATGAAGGCCCACATTGAGATTGATGGTCAAGTCCACCAGCCCATCTGCAACATGATTTTTCCAATTTTTTTGGAAGTATCAATTATTTTATTTTTTGAGGCAACGGCTTTATCTTCTTTTTATTGGTAAGGAATAATACTTTTTTTTCGCCAAAAATTATTATTTTTAATATAAACTAGCATTTGTCTACATATTTTGTATGTATAAATATATTTTTTAGAAAATGAGAAGAGAGAGAGAACATGGGGGAGTGGGAGGCTTTTTTTTTATTTGGTTTTTTTTTTTAATTTATATTGGAGATATTTTAACATCACATGTAGGTGAGGCTTAAATAAAAAACAGTAAAATTTGGACCTGTGAAATTACATTATTGCCCATCATTTTTTTTTTTTGTGTGATAGAAGACTAATTTTGTCTTTTCATCATCATTTAGTTGACAAAGAAGGTTTCATTAATTAGTAAAAATTAATATTCAAATTTATAAATAAATGCAACTAAGAAAGAGAAAGACATGCTAGACCTTGTCATACTAGTGTGGTGTGAGACAATGGCTTCGAGGTGATTAGTTTACGGTTAGTAAGATGAAAATGGATTCAACAATTCCAATTTAACAGCTCGAGGTTGGGGTCTTATATAGGGGTAAGTCTTAACCTGAGATGATTCCTTAAGGCACTCATGACTTTATGTGTTTGGCTAATTTAAGTCATGTTATCAAGTTGGTCCAGTCATTTAGACAATTGACTTTTGGATGTCTGATAAAAGACGTATCTAAAAATTATATTTAAGGAGGTCTCTTAACCACATGAAATATTCTGACCTATAATTGGGTCACTGTTGTTGAGATTGCTTATCCCGTCATTGCTTATGCATGATCATTTCTTATCCATCTTGTTGAGCTTATTCCTCCATCATATATTGCTAGGTATGAGGACGAGTTTGAGATTTTCCTGGCCATTTAGGCCCTGAGTTAAGTGGCCAATGGGTTGGATAAAACGTATTCATCATGTGGACTAAGTAGATGTGTCCATATGATTGATACGTTTTTATGATCTATTTGTACAATCTCTCTAATAAAAATGTGACCCACATGTGTTTATGAGCTCCACCTCTATTGAGAGATGATACAATTAGATAATAAGCGAATTGGAGTTGAACTGTCATATTATTCTAACAAAAAAAACCATAATTAAAGAGTAATACTAGAAACTACTTAGTATTACAGTTTAGGTGTATTGCTCTTCATTTGCAAGTGAGATGTCTTAGATTCAATTTTTGTCAAATGCGAGTTGGAACCATATTATTTTTTTACTCATTATGCGACTAAGCTCATCACATTTTCCTTAACATAAATAATATTGTGTGTTAAAAAAAAATATTAGAAAAACTATCTATTTAAACTAAAATTTATAAATTATACGAAGTAATTGTTGATAATGAAATTATTATTTAAATGATAATTAACATGTTTAGTAACAATCACATATATAATTGACTAAAAGATTAGTCTCTTTATCTTTACTCAAAAATATAAAAAATGAGTGGCGCCAAACCAGGAAGAAAAAGAAAATGAGCGGGGGAACCGCGTCGGCTTCCGTCCCACGTGCATTTAATTTTCCACGAAAATAAAAAGGAGAAGAGAAGGGAGACGGAAATTAGGAAAAGGAGGGTTGGGAATATCCACGTCTTACACATATTTGAGGCCTTTTAATGTCAAAGCGAATTTCCAGAATCTCAAACGAGTTTTGTTCCCTCTTCCCTTCTCTTCCCTGCCTCAATTTTAACACGCAAATACTTTCTCGACGAAACAAAGAAGCAAAACCAAATACTCTCTCTCTCTCTTTCCATCTCCGTCTTCCCCTCGTAATCTCTGAGCTTTCATGGAAGTTTCAGCTTCTTGCCAATTCACTACAGATTACCAGCAACACCCCAAGATCTCACGACTGCGCTTTTGCTGCTAATTGGTCCGTTGGAAATTTGGATTGAATTGCCGGTGCTGGAATCCATGTTTACCAATGCAATTTCCTACATTCACATCTCAATCAGGTGCTCTGAGTTTATCTCCGCCGCTAATTAATGATTTTGCAATCAGCTTCTGCGAGCTTCCATTTCTCGCAGCCGCGGCCTCTTCCTCCTCACTGCCCATGTGGAAATTTCGCCCTGCCCAATAAAAACCCACAACTTCCTCTCCATCCCTTCATCTAAAAGAAGAAGAAAGCAGCTGCTTATCGTCAATTTTCCTCGAAAAAGCGTCAGAAGAAAATGGGGTTGTAATTCCTTTGCGATTTCGCCCCCCGATGCTCCGGGTTCCTCCATGAACATAACGAATTCAGCGAGACAGGGTGCGAAAAACTTGGTGATAAATCGTTTCTCCGGTGAACTGGAAGCCGATGAGTTTTCCGAAGAGTCGCCGGTTCAAATGGGGAACAATTTCACCAGCTTTCAGGAGGACCCTTTCGTGGATAAGCTCAGAACTCAGCTGGGAGTGATACATCCCATTCCATCGCCTCCAATAAACCGAAACATTGGGGGGTTGTTTGTGTTCTTCTTCTTTGTAGGCGTCGCGTTTGATAAATTGTGGAATTCAAGGAAGAAGAGCAAGCTGGGTGGTGACAATGGCCGCAGAGAGGCATGGCCGCAAGTGCCCACGAGCTTTTCGCTGTTTCTGGAGAAGGATTTGCAGAGGAAGGAGTCGGTGGAGTGGGTGAACATGGTGTTGGGGAAGCTGTGGAAGGTTTATCGATCCGGGCTTGAGAATTGGCTCATTGGGTTGCTGCAGCCGGTAATTGATGATTTGAAGAAGCCTGACTATGTTGAGAGAGTTGAAATCAAGCAGTTTTCGCTGGGGGACGAGCCGTTGTCTGTTAGGAATGTCGAGCGGAGGACTTCCCGCCGCGTTAATGATCTGCAGTGAGTTGAAATTTTCGATTCAATTATGCTTGTGTTTTGTTTGATTGGGTTGCTTATTGTCTCTGTTTCAATGTTCATGATAGACTGATTGTTTATGTGGAAATCGAATGACGAACTTAATGCACTGTGTTGCTGAATATCGTTTTTAGTAAGTTGACAAAGCTTAATATTTGTTGGGCCGCTAAGATGTAATTTGATATTGGATGCTACGAAATGATATAAAACAATGAATTTAGTCGATGAGTTTGATCAAAGCAAACGTTGAGATAATTGATCTGACATCCTTACCATTTTTTCATCAGGGTAGATCTTTATGAAACTGATTTGCATGTTTTTTTTTGGTCAAAATACTTTGTGCGTATTTGTGCTGTGCTAGCTCAATTTTCCATTACACTGATTCTATATCCCTTTATTTCATTTAGGTACCAAATAGGTCTACGTTATACTGGTGGTGCTCGTATGCTGTTAATGCTCTCACTAAAATTTAGCATTATTCCCATTTACGTGCCAGTTGGTGTTCGGGATTTTGATATTGATGGGGAACTTTGGGTCAAGTTACGGCTAATACCTACATCGCCTTGGGTGGGAGCCGTTCAATGGGCTTTTGTTTCACTTCCCAAGATCAAATTTGAATTGTCGCCTTTCCGCCTGTTCAATTTGATGGGTATGTCATATAGTCATAATCATGTTTCTATTTACTAAGGTACTAAGGTACTATAGCACTATGTTTGGCAGATAAGATAGGTTGTTTTATTTAATGTTAATTGCATATTTTTAGGCTAAATCGTTTTATGTTGAAGATACTGATAATTATCTTCTTCTCTCGTCTATTTCTGCATGGATTGGGCAAATTCAGCAATTCCTGTTCTCTCAATGTAAGTGAATCTCATCACTCTCAATCGTTAATTTTTGTCTATGCGAAAGTTAATGGTAGACAACAAATCGATAATATATTATTCACTCTGGATTGTATGCTTGTTTGTTTCTTTCGCTTTTTGACTCGGATCCCTAAATGCATTTTGTAGGTTTTTGACAAAACTTCTCACCGAGGATTTACCCAGATTATTTGTACGCCCAAAAAAGATTGTCTTGGATTTCCAGAAAGGAAAAGCAGTTGGCCCAGTTGGAAATGATTTCAAGTCAGGGGACATACAAGAAGGAAACAAGGATTTTGTTGGAGAATTATCAGTGACCCTTGTAGATGCTCGGAAGCTTTCCTATGTTTTCTATGGTAATGAATGTCTTCTAATGTGAAATAATTTCATTTGTTTTGTTTTCATTTTTTTTAAGCTGCCTTTGGCTTATGATAAAATGAATATCATAAGTATTCACTTGTCCATTTTCGTTTAGAGACTCAATAACCTGTTGATCTAATTTTTCAGGCAAAACGGATCCCTATGTTACACTAAGCCTGGGAGATCAAATTATACGCAGTAAAAAAAACAGTCAAACTACTGTTATTGGACCCCCTGGTGAGCCGATCTGGAATCAGGTGAACCGTCTTCTAGTGTTGCTTCATCTACTATATTGTAAAATTCGTATATGTAAATTTGGAATCATGTGTTTGTATGTTGTGCTGGCAGGATTTTGATATACTCGTGGCCAACCCTAGAAAACAAAAATTATACATCCAAGTCAACGATTCTCTTGGATTCGCAGACTTAACTATTGGTACAGGAGAGGTAAAAGATCTAATCCTTTCAAATACTGAACTTGTTTTCAGGATTGGCATGGTCGTAGCATACATGATTGGGATGATGCATGCATGTAATGTTTGTGTTTTCAGAACCAATACTTGTTTAAAAACATAAATCGATTTTGAGGTAGCGGGTTATATCAAGAATGAGATATGGCTGCATTATTTGATTCTTCTCATCTAAAGTTCTAAGGAGCGCAGAAATGTTCCTTTTTCGCCTCTCCATAAAAATTTTAAATTAGATAAGGGATAAAAGGTGATGAAGATGGATTTGACAAAAATATCCCAAAAGTTTATTCCCACCTAATTGCGCATGTGCCACATGATATAGCAGCTAATGGTTGAATTCACTGCCTTCGGAGGCAAATTGGCCCATTAATACTACTTTCAGAATTTCAGAAGTAAATAGTTTTCCATTAATATTTCATTCATTTCTAGGTTGATCTGGGATCTCTTCAAGACACTGTACCGACGGACAGGATTGTGGTACTGCAAGGAGGTTGGGGCCTCTTTAAAAAGAAGTCTGCTGGTGAAATACTACTTCGACTGACATATAAAGCATATGTTGAGGATGAAGAGGATGACAAAACTCAGGTGGCTTCTACGGATACCGACGCTTCAGATTCAGATGATGAGTTGTCTGATTCTGAAAAGGATAAACTAGAGTCTGCAAATGAAGCAGACAAAGAATCCTTCATGGACGTTCTAGCAGCTTTGATTGTGAGTGAAGAATTTCAAGGGATAGTGGCATCCGAAACAGGAAATGCCAAACTTGTGGATGATATCTCAATTACAGGGTCAAAATTTTCAAAAATGCAGCGTGGACGTGATGCTGAATCTGTGCCTTCAAATTCCAGTAATAATTCGGACGATTCTCAAGGTATTTAATCTCTATGTTACCTCTTACATCATTATGTAAGTTAGCGATTTACTGTTGATTTTTTGACTGGTGTCATCTCCTCATCCACCAAAAAGATTAAAAACAAACTCGTGAAATGCAGGAGTATCCATGGAATCCACCTTACTTTGGCTTTCATTACTTGCTGGCATATCAGTGCTAATTGCACTCAACATTGGTGGCTCAAATATTTTCAATCCTTGAGATGCGAAGGAGCTTGAGAACTAGATCTCAAAACTAGCTATAACAAAGTAATACTGGAAATCCTTCTTCGCTGGTTCCACATTACTCCTTGAGTGTATTATAGCTCGTTATCCAGCTTACTGTTTCGGGGTAGCCCATCACTTGAGTTTGGATTTCACAAAGAACTACCCTTGTCCATGGCAGGGTGGATAACTCTCCGGTAACTTAAAGATGGACGGACCTACCAACTGAATTCATTTCCAACGTCCACTCTACACTTTGTATATTTGTGACTATTGCAGAGGAAATTCCATCGGCGGCATTTTTCGCTTTTATTTTTCATTTTCTTTGCAAGAGGCCTCCATAGGTAGTGTGATAGTTACCAGGTATCTTCTCTTCACTAACTGTTCATATAGCCTTTCTTCTTTCTCTTCTGAGACAAGGAGGTTTCAAAGATTCTGTAATTTAGATTTGGGGACTGGAAGCAACTAATGATTTACTCATTGATTTGATGTTAGAAATGTATAAGGGCCGAAAGCCCAAAGATGAAATATTGGAAATGGATTCATATTTCAAGCTATACTTTGTATTTTAGATTTGGGCCTATCTCAATGGTGAAATAATTGAAGTGGATTCACAATATTAACATGGCCCATCTCCAAGTTATTCAAAATTGTGTTAGAGAAGCGATTTCTACACATTTTAGCGTGCTGAGGCGAAAAAGAGAGTGCAACATAATTTCTCATTGCATTAATAGCTATAGAATGCAAGATATGTATGTTGAAATGGAAACTTCTCTATTTGTATGAAAGATGTTAATGAGTGTAGCGGGTGTGTTGTTACAAGTGTTTTAGCCGTTTTGATATTTTTATTTTCAATCTTAATGATTCATATTATTTAGTGCTACATAATACTTAAAAAAAAAAATTCGAATATAATACAAAAAAAGATTTGTTGCATGTAAAAGGGAATATAGCTCTCACGAGTGTTGTGTGCATCATTTGATATAAAGGCATGCAAAACGATTAAGAAATGGAATCACGATCCAAAACATTGCATATAAAAAGAATAGGATATCGTCTACATTTTAACCTACCTTTTGTGCAAAGGTCAAATGATCATGATCATCGCGATTCACGGACACGATGATTCTCCATAAAAAGTGCCCTTTATTTTTATATCTCAAAATATTGTTTTTTTTTAATGACTCACGTATAACAATTTCTTGGGCTAAGACTACCATTAATATTATTCGCTCACCAAGAACAAATGAATAGCCAAGCAATATCGAATAACAACATGAGTTATTATTAACAATATAGAAAAAGTTATTTTGCATCTCGTATTTTATTAAAAAAATTTCCTTATTGTGTTTTATAAATTTGAAGTGCATAATCAATTTTTATATTCTAATAACGATGCACATTTACAAATAAAATTTTCATTACAATCAAATTACACGAGTAATTAATATTTATTATGTATTTAAAAAGCAAATTAACTATTGTATCATGTGATAAATCAGTGATAAGAAGAGATTTTTTTCTGCATGCTAAAAATATAGATACATAAATCAAATTCATTATATAAATAGAAAGACACTTAAAAAAAATCTATCCATTTGATATAACAACATTAGACATATTATCCTTGTTTTAAGCATATTAAAATAATAAAAAGAATATATTAAAATTGAGGGGCATGACACGCGGCATGGGAAAGTCCGGAAGTGGCACATGGTGGTGGGCTGAGTCCAAAACGTGACAGCCAGCGAATCTTGTTGGCTTGGTTGGTGGAGATTTCCTTCTGATTGGATCTGTCTCGGGCTCTTCAATCTTTTGCCCCCCTTGTTTTAGAACATCTTCAAACAAAATATCAAAATTATTATATAAGTATATAACAGTAAAAATTAGCTACAAATTTTCTCTAAGTGAGCCTTCAATTTCTTACAAGACGTTGACTCAATTAAAGATAAACCTTCTGCTGTCAAATCTATTTAATACTTTTTTAACAGATTTAATGGAAATGTAATAAATGTGGTTGTGTATTTTAAGAGTTTGATTAGTTGCCTTCATTAATATATCCCACAAAATGTTTAAAAAAATTTAAAATAACATTATTATTTGATTCTATAGAAAAATCTTACAATAAGTCAAATTGTCACATAAACCATTAAATATTAATTTAATATTTTAAATTTGACATTTTCGGATATGCTCTTATTTTCATTACGTTTTTTATTAATTTTTTCAGAAAGTTATAAAATAAATAAATAAACGCATTGGGCCTCGGACACGCACTGTCCCTCTGTCACTCTCTGTCACTCTGTCACTCACTCCCTCAATCACTCACTCTGGCCGCTTCCAGACTTGCCCTTAAAAGTCGGTTCCTCTACGGGCCTATCTTGCAATTAGTTCGCCATCTTCAGCACCAGGTACTCTCTCTCTCTCTAACATTGTGTTTTGATTACTGCTAGATTTTAGCCGGTTCGTTAGAGTTTGAAATTTTGCTACTTTTTGTTCGAATTTGTTTTCTTTTTGGTTTGGGGGTTGAATGTTGGGTGTGTTTTTGTGCTGAGATCTGTTTGTTTCCCGAGAAAACGAGAGAACATGGAGCTTTCAGAGTATGGTTTGAGTCCTTATGAAGTCTCCTATTGAGTGTTGTTGGACTTTGTTATAGTGTGTTGAGGCGCAGCGTCCTCCGGTTTAAACCCCCACCCTCTCTTCCCTTACTGTCCTTAGTACTGTAGCTCCCTTCCTGTCCTTTAGCTTAGAATAGTAACATCGTTCTTAATAAAAAAAAATTACTTTTAGTAGTATCGCTTGTAATAAAAAAAATTATTTGTAAAGATAAGTAGATCTTGAATTTTAGAAGTCTCTAATTCTTCTTCAAGCCTTTGCGGATATTAAAGGTCGGACTACGGTACAGTGATATTTCTCTCAGCTTATAGGTCGGAGGTCTTAGGTTTGGGTTTGGGTTTGGGGTTTATGGATTAGGTTCTTGCTTTGAAAGTGGTACCACTAAATCTGGATATTATTTAAGATTCAGTTTTTGAAAATCTATTTTCTTGGCAAGCATGTAGCATGTGTTGTTTTGGTTTTTCAACGTATGTTTACAATAACTAATTGCCATTAAGGTTGTAACTGTCAATTTAGACATCAAAAATGCTACTTTTACCACATTTTTCATACCACATTTGTACCACATCTCTTAAAGAGATCAGACCGACATGTGTTGGTGGGGCCAACCTCTATTAGAGAGGTGGTATAAATGTGGTATGAAAAATATAATAAGTATAGCATTACTTGACAAGACAAAGATTTGTTGTGCATTTTGTGTTTAAAAATATAATAAGTATAGCATTACTCCACAAGGCAAAGATTTGTTGTGCATTTTGTGTTTAAAAATATAATAAGTATAGCATTACTCGACAAGACAAAGATTTGTTGTGCATTTTGTGTTTGCGAACTCTAGTAACTTGTAAATCTGACTACTCACCATATGCAAATTGAGCTAATTTCTATGTGGAAGCAAAATCTGTTCTGGAACTCTAATTGCATATCCTTATCAGGGTTTTACTTGTCACGCTCGATTTTCCAACTATAGGTATAGTAATCTCAAAAAGGAAAGTTTACATGCCTGGTAAGACTCTGAAAAATTTGAGAATTATAAATTTGAAGCGCACATTACTTGCGGATCAGTCTAATTTTGGTACCAATCCTTGCTTATCTGTATTTCCTTTTTGGGTAGAAGATGGACAAGATCTTTGTTGCATTCATGTATCAGTTATATTTGAATTGTCACTTATCTTTCTCCTTCATTTGTTGGTTTTGTATTGTATTGTAGCTTTCATTGACATTGCCATGTCACTTTATTAGGATTTTGAGTTTGCTGCAATCAGTGTGAGGGTGATCTGTTTATCATGCATGTAACAGATAGTGTAATGTATAAAGAATGCCTAATCCCATGTAATATGGTATAGAAATATATACCTTTTTATGCCAATTGTGTTACCTAACAATTATATTTTTTGTACAGCAGAGTAGGCGTCCACTTCCAAGATGTCGGATCTTGAAACCCCACTGCGTCCAAAGAGGAAGACGGCCGTGGTGGACTTTCTTGTTCAATTCCGATGGATTGTTGTTATCTTTGTTGTGCTTCCCATCTCCTTCACTATGTACTTTCTCACGTACCTCGGGGATATAAGATCTGAGATGAAGTCCTACAAGAGGCGTCAAAAGGAACATGATGAAAATGTTCAGAAGGTCGTAAAACGGCTCAAAGACAGGAACCCATCAAAGGATGGGCTTGTTTGCACAGCACGAAAACCATGGATAGCTGTTGGAATGAGGAATGTTGATTACAAGCGGGCTCGTCATTTTGAGGTTGATTTGTCTGCATTCCGAAATGTCCTTGAAATTGATCAAGAGAGAATGATTGCGAAAGTTGAGCCCTTAGTCAACATGGGGCAGATAACCAGGGTAACTGTTCCATTGAATCTCGCCCTTGCCGTGGTTGCTGAGTTTGATGATCTTACTGTTGGTGGTCTCATTAATGGCTATGGAATTGAAGGAAGCTCTCACATCTATGGACTTTTCTCTGATACAGTTGTGGCCTATGAGATTGTTCTTGCAGATGGCCGAGTTGTCAGAGCCACCAGGGATAATGAGTACTCTGATCTTTTCTATGCTATTCCGTGGTCTCAGGGAACATTGGGGCTTCTTGTCTCTGCTGAGATCAAGCTGATACCCATCAAGGAATACATGAGGCTGACATACAAACCCGTGGTGGGAAATCTGAAAGAGATTGCACAGGCATACAGTGATTCTTTTGCTCCGAGAGATGGAGATCAGGACAACCCCGAAAAGGTTCCAGACTTTGTTGAAACCATGATTTATACTCCAACAGAAGCTGTGTGCATGACGGGGAGATATGCTTCAAAAGAAGAAGCAAAGAAGAAGGGGAATGTGATTAACGAAGTTGGGTGGTGGTTTAAACCCTGGTTCTATCAGCATGCCGAGAAAGCACTGAAGAAAGGGGAGTTTGTAGAATACATCCCGACAAGGGACTACTACCACAGGCACACTCGGAGTATTTATTGGGAGGGAAAGCTTATCCTTCCATTTGCTGATCAGTGGTGGTTCAGATTTTTGTTGGGCTGGATGATGCCACCCAAGATTTCTCTGCTCAAGGCTACTCAAGGTGAAGCCATTAGAAACTACTACCACGACAATCACGTCATTCAAGACATGCTCGTTCCTCTTTACAAGGTCGGGGATGCTTTAGAATGGGTTCACCATGAGATGGAGGTAAACATGTCTTGTTTTACTTAAACTTGAAAATCCATTTTGATTTTAATCATGTTCCCTAATCCATTTTGTTAATCCTGTTTTGTTGATTCTATAGGTGTACCCCATCTGGCTCTGCCCTCACAGAATGTACAAGAATCCCATCAAGACAATGATATACACCGAACCAGGCTTTGAGCAACACCGCAGGCAGGGAGACACGCATTACTCTCAGATGTACACGGATGTTGGTGTCTACTATGCACCGGGCCCCGTCCTGAGGGGTGAGGTT